ATACATAGTATATATATACAGTATTCCTAACTATTGCGGATTTATAAACTATTCGAACAATAATTAAAAAAAAAAAAAACGAAATTCAAATGTGTCTCATTCATTCTGTGTTTTCTCTCAGGCCCCCGTATTAGTATTAGTCGGGGTAAATTTTAGTAACAATAGCTATCATATTATTCAAGTCAGTATGCGTATGCATTGTGGTGAGTGTCGCATGCCGCGTACTCACTCGGGAAATGGACTGCAGTTGCTCGGTCTGATTACGGCATATGTGTAGATACGTGTATAGAACACGGTTGTTATTACTGTTATAGTCGGATGTAATGTCTGCTCTGGAATCCCCCTAGACAACATGGTGGATTGATGGACTTTCATTCTTAATTTCTTTTTCATTCATCTTCTAAGTCGCATTTTTATTGATGATGGTGATTCACAGGCTCGTAGGTATCGATGTATGATTCTGTTGTCGATAGAATCGTAGTTTGAATTTTGAAAGTATTATCTGTTGGTTTTTTTTTTAGACTATTTTGGAAAATTACAACACGCTCTTTGGTTGCGTTTTCTCTTCATTATTAAGCTACTATATAATTCGTCTTTGTTATTAAGATTCTTGACTAGTGATGGGCATATAGAATTAAGAGGCTTACATCGCAAAATTACCTTAAGCACTAGTGTTTCTGATAACCCATTATTTTACGCTTGTATATGCGCTTAGTGCTGTGAAGACACTGTCTACGATGAATATACAAATGGGTATTGCAGACCTGCATCTGAAGTGGGGACAAGTCAGTGGGGTCATTTAGACTAAAAAATTTACTGAATTTGAATAATTGCTGTTTTTGAAAGCCTCCTTGGTATTCGAAGGTATTGGCTGAACGTTTTGCTTTGTTGCTGTGGCATACCACAGCTCGACATCCCCAATTATGCTTTCTAATGTAGCTGTACGATCTCTCCAAGCACAACCATTACCCGTACCACAGCCATACTCATCGGAATCGGAGTTGACTGAGTTTTCACCCAGTTGATAAGGTGAAACATATGATAGGACTTGTTCGCTCTCTCCAAATGCATATATATCATCGGGATTATGTAAAGAAATCGTCTCTTCTTGGTCATTAATGTGTCTTTTGTGCAAACTTGATGGCGCTAAGTGATCATAACTACTGTACACAGTAGATAAAACGGTGCTAAATTCTCCTGGTCTTCGTCCAGAGACATATAACGTAACTACGCTGCTCTCTTCCTCAGACTTCGATTGTTGCTGTTTGTTCCGCTTTTGACCTTTGTTCGATTTCCTTGACTTTTTGCGGTTCTTACTGGTGTGGATATGCTGATCATCGATGGCTATGATATCATCAATATTATTGCGTGCGCTAATGGAACCACCATCAAATCGCACCCCATCTTCCAGGTCCTGCAAGTTGTCACTCAATAATATTTGGGACGATGCCGTTTGCATTACCTGAGACATCTGAGCCTGCTGTTGCTGTTGTTGTTGTTGCTGCAGCAGCAATTGCTGCAACAGCAGATTATTTACTTGGGCCACCTGACTTGATGCCTGTACCACCTGATGACTGGGCGTATTAACAATTGTATCTACGTTATATTCAGTTGCGGTTATGGTCTGAGCAGTCGTATCAAAAACAGTTGTTAAGATCTTCTTTCCCTGAAAAGTGATTGGCAAAATTGTAGATTTGCCATCGTATATAGTTGTCACATAAGTCGAAGTATGTGTACGATATTCCGTAACCGGTGCTGACGGCTCAACAACACTAATTGGGCTCAATAATTGGGGCTGACCGATCGCCCCTAAAAGTGGATTGCTTGGCAAATTGATGTTGCCTAATAACAGTTGAGATAGCAAAATGTTGGCCAATGGTGCATTGGATGCTATCTGCGGCTGCACAGTCGAGACCAGGTTCTCTACAGAATACACTGTCGAGGGTAGAACGTGCGAGAAGGATGTTCTGCGCCCACGAATCGTTGTCGGAGTAAATGTAACAGTCGATGTCAATGAGTCGCGCAGCAAATACCGTGTTAGCTCAGTGGCACCAGCAGAATTAATGGCGGATTCTTCACGAGTTAGGTACAATGATAGTTGCCCATTGCTTCCCAAAATTTGGGTGTATTGATGTGGTCCTAGTACCTCAAGACTTGTCTTCGCAGTCACAATATTTTTGTATTCAGTCACCAGTCCATTAACAACAGGCACCGTTACTTCCGCTGGTATCAAATGCGTAACCGTGATAGTAACGCTGCCCAACTCTGTGGATTGCGAGTCCGAGTTGTATTCAATGCGACTTCTTCCACGCATCGTAGTGCGGCTTCTTGCTGACACATTTGTATTGCCTTTACGCGTACGTGCTGTGTTTGTGGCACGGTTACCAGAATTTTCCATATTATTATTATGCTTGCTGTAGCTCTTCAGACGGCGCGATGCACTAGTTGAACTGGAAATAGTCGTGGTGTGCCGTGCACTCGACTGTTGGCGACGAAAGTTTGAAGATGTGCCACTCTGTCTGCTCTTTGTAGGAGCATCTTGCTCTCTCAATGTAAATTGAGTACGCGGCGATGTGGGCCTGCTTGGACGAATCGACCTATGGCTTGCGATGGCAGGAGCGGTGGTACTTGTATATGGCTTATGCGTCCCCATGTATCTTGAGCCGAAACGTGAATTCATTTTCGGACGTACTGAATGTGGGTGAGTTGTGGATAGTGTCCGCTCATCGCTATTTAAAAGAATTGGCTCTTCGGTTGTGACAGTTTTTGGTCGACGAAATCGAAATTTGTTCCTATTTAAGGTATCAGCTTCACGACGTCTACGTGAAAGTTTTGAAATACTGCTGACTGTTGCTGCGGTTTTATTTGAACTCCGGCGACGTCTAGCCTCATTTTGTACCTCGCCATCAGCATCATCATCTTCGCCTTCATCATCATCATCGTAATCAGAATCACTTTCCGTATCATTTATATTCTGGCTGGCATCTTTGTCTGCTTGAGCTTGATCTTTTTGTTGTTGGAATAATCCTCTTGGAGGGAAAAGATTGTTTTGGGGTCTAGCTCGCGCTTGAAGACTTGAAATTGTGGGTCGCTGAAAACTTCGTGGTCGTGTCCTTGCTGTTGTCGTTGTTGTTGTTTTTGTCGTTGTTGTAGATGTTTTGACCCGTCCAGTTAATGGATTTCTTCTCGGTGAAATGGTAGCTAGATTAGCCCGTGGAACAGGAGTAAATCCACTCGGCCGTCCGAGTGGTCGACGGAAACGCAATAAGGAATTCTGATTACGTCTAGAAACTTGATTATTTTTCTCTTCATCAGCATTGCCTTGAGTCGACTCTTCAGTGGAAGTCTCTTCATCGCCATCGACATTATCTGAATTATGTTGGTTAAGCGTTGATGTGGTCGCACTATATGCCTGCCCAATTACTGAGGCTGGTCTAATTCTTTGTCTGGAGGTGCCAACATTCAGTGCAGAAGCTCGAAAATTAATGCTGCTGGATGGACGGAGTGAAGAACTAATGCTTAGTCGCCGTGAACTGGATACGAGAGAAGCACGTGAAGAGGACACAAAACGATTTCTAGATGGAGCAAATACGGTGCTTGCTAAACTAAAATTAGAGCCTGATTGACTAGTGCCCGCACCAACCGCGGTGTTGGTAGACGACTTTATTGGGCGACCAAACAGACGTCTAGAAGAAGATGTTGAGCCGCCGTCCAGAGTATTTATTGGCGCATTCGAAATAGGCCCCCTACGCGATGAACTAAATCTGCTTACAGATTTAAGGGCCGGAGTTGCTGTTATTGTTGGTGTTATGTCAGATCTGGTGATAATAGTGGCACTGCTTGGACTTAAAGTTTTTTGCTTTGGCGCAAATGTTGGCCTGTTCCGAGAAGCAAATGGTCTTATCACAGGCGCAAATGTTCGTTTCTTTGCTTGCTGAGATAAGCTAGCAGTATTATCGTCAATATTATCAGTAGATGTTGATTGCTCGATAGAATCGGTATTAATGCTACCCTCAACTTCTGTAAGCAAGGACTGAAGACTTACCATTTGAGTGGTGGTAATCTCGTCAGATGTTGAAGTCGCTTGTATTGTAGCTGTAGGTATTCGTTTTTCAAAAATAAAGCTTGAGGTACTCTCAATAATTTGTGCATATCGATTATTTATAATCGTACCAATCACTTTTGATTGATACAAAGTTGTTGTACTATTCCCAATTCGTGTACCCTCTATTAGTCTAGCCAAGCCAGTTTTGTATAGTCGGGATGATCCTGATTCTAATGTTTGTTCAGTTGCAGGCGAATTGGATTTCTTTACTTCATCGATATACAAGCTCGATGTACTGCTGGTGATCTCTATGGGAATACCTTCATTGTCAACGGTTGATTGAACTTGCGTTGTAAAATACAAAGTGCTGATTCCATCCGCATCAATTATATGCTTATAGTCATAGAATATGATATCTTTGTTTTTATTCTCGTAATTATTTTCTGAAATATATATTGGCTGAGGCTGTGTTATTATCATTGTCGGCTCTATACTCGTTGTTGAAGTTTTTGAAATCGCACTGATTAGGGGTGTTATCACATTTGTAACGGTCTCGAAACGGGAATCTGTAACAGTTTTATTAGCGTCATATGATGTTGTATAATATGTATACGTGGTATAAAAGGTTGTCAGCTCTGATACTTCACTTGTGCCTAAATTTATAAAGTTTTTGTCATCAAGTTTGGGATTAAGTGGAATATTCTTTAAATTGTTATTACTAAAATTATTATTTTTTTGGCCGCCTTCGTTTGATATGGATGGCAAGTCGGAAATAGAAGTTGAACTCGAGCCCAACTCAACGTCCAATGCTAAACGACTTGTCGGCTCTATCACGTTTGATATGGTTTCCTCTCTGCTAATTGTGGTGATCTCTCCGTCCTTAGCTAATTTAGTCCAATAAGTAAATGTGGTGAAGAAAGTTATAGGAAGAGTAGCCTCATCGCTGACAAGAACCTTTGTTGGCTGTAGCGTTTCCGTGGCAATATTGGTTACAGTTTCGAGTCGACTCACAACATTCGTGCTATCCGAAACATACATCGTTGTGTAGAATGTGAATGTAGTAAAACTTGTCTGTAGCAGAAATGTGGCTGATGGTATGATTTCTTCCGTATTGCTCTCAGAACTAACTTGATCATCGTCATGGTTTTTTCCAACAACTTGTTGTTCGCCATTAGAACTGCTTGATCGTATGTCAGTAACCAATGTAAAATGCTCTTCTTTATTTTGCGATATTTCAGTACCTTTTCTATCTTCAACCTTAGGAATATCCGACTGGAACTCAGACACGGATAGGGTTATACCATGATAGAAAGCTGAAGGTGTTGTAGATGGCACTATATCATCAACAATTGTTTCGGTAGTCCCTCCCAATTCAGTGACATAATTGGTGAACACTTCGGTTCTAGACATTATATCTGTTTCAGTATCAGCGAAAATCGTTGTGTAGTAAGTATAAGTTGTATAGAATGTTTTTGTATATTTTGTATCATCCAAATATGTGTTTTGCTCATCAAATTTTTTCGTTTTTGAGTGTTCATCGTTAGCCGTAAAGTGCAATAGGCTTTCAAGTTCATCGGGAATCATATAACGGGTTTGTGTAGCCTGTATGTTTGGCGATGATGTGATCCTCACATCTATAGTTTGAGTTTCTGTAGAAAAGCTCTGTATATCGTTTATGGTTACAGGGTTTTCGTCATTACCCAAAGTCGAGGTAACAATATTTGTAATAATCTCTGTATGGCTAGATACAGTTGTGGACTGGCCTTGAAAAAATGTCGTCAAATAGGTATAGGTTGTGTACAGTGTTTTGTATATAAGATCAATTTCATCTGAAACATTATCACCTTCATAATCATCATTTTCGTTATCATTTACATTTACAGATTCTGCAACGTTATCAACAGCAACTATTAGCACATCCGTCGCTGTCTCTGCGTCTATTGAGCTTTCTTCCCTGACTGTTGGAGCTGTGGCCTCTGTTTGACTCTCCGCCAATGCATCTTTTGTGCCTACAGCGTCGCTGATGAACGACTTACTAGACTGAACAGACTCTTGCAAAACTGTTGTTGGCTTTTCTAATTGAGGTGATTCAATTATTTGCGTTGGCTCGAGGCAATAGAATTTAGTTGTCTCCTGCATATCAAATGGAACGAGTTCTTTTTTGTCGTTTTCATGATTTTTTGTACTCAAAATCATATCTGTGTTTGGCAATTGAGTGAAAAATACTTGTGACGTTATGTGTGCACAGTTTCCTTCGGCAGCCTCGTTCGGGCTACTGATTTCCTTAATCATAGGTGGAGTTTTGGTTACATCTTCAGATATTTGAGAATAGAGAGTGTATGACTTTTCTTCATCCTCTAAACTTGTAGTGTCTGAATCCCCCGTCGAAGTGACCTCTGTTGTAGTTTCATCCTGTTCAGTTGAGATTGTTGCTATTGGTCTTGGTGGTGTTATTGAAAGATGATTACTTTTCACAGAAGTAGGCTCGACAAAGCTTGCAAATGGATCATCATCAATGAATATGGTTGTGGCTCCTTCATGTACCTGATTTGATTCACCTATTTGGTCTCTAGAAACACCACTTTCTCTAATGACTTCGGAGGAAGAAAGTGATAAATGGGCTGGCTGGTATTGCGCTTTGGCTAACGACGAATATATTTGCAAAATTTCTTGATCAGTAGGCAGTGAAAACATGGGCTTAGATTCAATTGTGCCAATATCATCCGATATAACTTTTTGAACTGTTATAGAATCAAGAGTGGGTGTTGGAAGCTTACTAACTTCTGACATTAACTCGGATGTTTTTGGTATTGAAATCTCGACCATATCGCTTCTTGGTGGCTCTGTAGCATCACTGAAACTAGCCGAAGCATTTATTTCTATTGTCGTAGGACTTACGGCCACTTCAGCTGTTTTTGAGGAATGAATGAAAGTTGTCATGGTCGTCAAAACTAAATTAACATCACTGGTTCTAAGCGTAGCCATGCCTTTTATTGATGTTACATGGCCAAGAGACGGACTAGACTGCGGACTTCTTGGCAGGAAAACAATCAAGCTGTCGCCCACAAGAGTTGTGAAATCAGCAAAGCCATAATATGTGACAGTAGATAATTGTCTCTTTGGTATATTAATGGGTTGATGATACGTTTTATCCCCTTTCACATTTTGCCCTAAATTATGATAAATCTTCGCGGAGCGTCCCTCTTCACTCGGGTTAGCATTTAAATCGGCAATTATCTGTGTATCTTGACCTTCGTTTATTTGATATCCACTAGGCTCAAAATTATTTTTAACCGTAAACGTTGGTAAATCACCAATCGACAACACTTTATCAGCAGCAATGTTGCTGACATTGTCCTCCATATGCCTAGAACGAGTAGCAAACTTTACATCCGAATTATCTGTTATATTTTTAATGATCGAGTTTGACGCAACAGGTTTTGAAACCAACTGACTGTCCGACTTTAACATAATAAAATCCGTGTTACCAATAAATTCATGATCATTGCCATTTAAAGGGACCCCAACAGCTTCCAGAACTAGTCTATCATCAATTTCCTGCCAATCTGGAGAGTCAGCATTCAGTAAATCGTTGTGACTTTGCAGATAGGATCGTGTTTGCGAAGACTGAACACTATCGCCCACCCAACTGGTGACGACCGATGGTAACATGCTATTGGGGCTTTTTTCAAACAATACTCTCGAACTTTTCTTCAGATACTGGGCATATAGTCGCCCATTATTTAAGGTAGTTCCCACGACCTGGGTGGCATATTCAGTTGTGACACCCTCTTGAATGAATGTTCGGGCTGTTGAGGTTAAGAGGCCAATTTCAGGTCGTACGGAAAGAAATCGGCCATAACTATCACCTAAACGTCCCACTCCGTTCTTGTTAACCAACAATACAGTAGTCAAATCTAATATGATGAATTATTACACAAACACACACAAAAACATGATTAACATTTCGAATCAATATAAAGTATACATGATATTGATATACAATAAATAGCATGTTATAGAAATATGGTACAAATATTTACAAAAGCATATATATAATAAAAATAAAAGAGGAGTTTTTAGAGATTATATCAATATATCCAGAATATACAGCATAGAGAGATGGAGAAATCATTTACATAAAAAGAAATAAAGAAAAGAAGGAACAAAAGAGGTAAGTAAGTTCATACATAATACAACTTAAATACAACACTGGTATTTTATTTACGTTTACAAATAAGTATTGTATAAATATATATGTATGTATATTTTGTGAATCTGTTTCGAGCTTGTTTTATGCACGCGTTTCTCCTCTGACATAAAATTCGAAACAGGCCTGTATATTTAAAATGTACTAAGTAACAGTGCGATTAAAGTGAATTATACATACATACATAGCATATAATCTTTATATTGTTATACACAAATATGTATTCACATTGAGTTTTCTTTACAAATTTACTGCTCACCTTCTGAACCTGTCCCTCGTAAAATTGGTGTTGGTTTCATAAAGTACGGCTCATCTGAAAATAAAAATATATAAATAATCAAAAAAATAAGCGAAAACTGAAAAATGCTTTTTCCAAGACCGAAAACTGTTCAATATATGTACATATATAAAATTTGATGTTTTTACAGTTACTAATACATAGGGCGGACTCCCTCAACTAAAGTGGAAGTATATCATAAACCTATAAATTTGGAAAGATTAGATCTTTAAATGTTTATTCGTGTCTTCGACTGACCCATGTTATTATATCCTGAGCTTATAAAAAATAGGGAAATAAGAGTATAATAGTTTTGTGAAAAGTATGTAACAGGCAGAAAAGTATGTAACACCGCAGATCCCATCCGGCTATAACGACTCCGCTCCAACTGGTTATGTCGACGAAAATTCGATGTCTTGGTTAGTCCCCATACAAACTTATATGAAAGAGCCTCCACTTAGTATGTATCCCGACGGCTATTACGAAATGTATATATGACATAATACAGATTTATCAATGATCAGTACCCTCACTTGTGTGCGTAGCAGAGACACAAATGCTGCTAAGACTTCTCTGTTTTAGCGAGAGAGAGACAATCTGCGATGCCGACGTCACACAAATGTGAATGCACATATACAAATATACATAATCTGCTAGGCTCTTGCCGTTGCACAGTGGGACAAACGGCCTACTTATTTTAATTCTTTTTTCTAGAATTCAGAGTTTTAGGATATTCTTTACTAATAGTATGTACATATATACAGTAATTATGCTTTATTTGTATCTGTCTCCCCCTCACATTACCTGCTGAATAGGTACTGGCAAGTGCACAGTGCAAGTGCAATGGACAAGAGCCTAGCAGATAATTAAATGTATATGTATATGTGCATGTACATGTACATATTTACATACGTATTATACATCAAATGAAAGGTATTAATGCGTAGATCATAAATATATGATCTAGCTCCTTTAGTTCAARAGATATTTCAATTCAATTTTTATTTACAATTTTTATATTAAAAGTTACGCCATAACTTTTATTTTTAATTTTTATTATACAAATTGGAAATAAAGGTTATGATTTGATTTTTATATGAAAATTGATCTCCAATAATTATTTTTGATTTTTATACCCTGAACCCATTTTCAATGGGAAATCAGGGTATAATGGTTTTGTTGAAATGTATGTAACAGGGAGAAGGAG